TCTGAGTGTTTGGCAATGAATTTTGGCGTTTGATTTGAGGTTCAAAATCAGTGCATGGACTGAAATTAGAGGCTTCATGCTCTCGCTTAATGTGGATCTCCTCGCTGCAGTCTGCTTCCTGTCCTGAGGTTTACACGGTTTATTTTTCTCAGCATGACCCCCACAGTTACCCCAACCCCTGTGTGTGTGTGGCAGAGTCGGGGCCAAGGGAGCCCAGGCGCCACACATTCGCGCTCGGCTCTCCTTCCCCTCGCTTCTCACTGGAACTGAGACCTCAGAAACACATGTCTCTGATCAAGTGCAGCCTGCGTCATTGGTTAGTAAACACGCAGCTCCAGGAAAACCAACAGAGAGCACATTCATCTTCAGCAACCCTGTGACTTAGTGAGTGTGTGATTCATTATTCTGTAATAAGGTCTCTCTGCTTCTCCAGCGGCCCTCTGGCAAACTCTGAAGCTCTTGGAGAGGGAGATGAGGGCCTTTGTTTGCATTTTGTTTGGTGGTTTTGTTTAGATGCTATTGTTCATGGGAGACCTCGGAGAAGTTGATGCAGAAGTATCTGTCTGTAATTAGGCTCATAGTGTTCGTACTGGGGCACATATGATGGACAGACATTGAAAGATGTGGGTTATGTGAGGTGAAGTTTGAGATAGAAATGTGTGATTCTCTCATCTGTCAAGTCCTACATCCTTATAAATAAACAACACTTTGACATTAAACTGCGCTCAGTTTCTCATGCAACTGATTCATAAGTGTGTTCTGTACTTGTGTTAACCTGAAATAAAGAAAATAAATCTGAAAGGAATTACACTCGATTGCATAGATTGTGTCCAGAACCTGAAAATGTAGTATATGGAAGTAGGAAGTCATCAAGGCATGTCTGAATCCATTATTTGTAGATCTGTCCACTTAAATGCCTCCATCTGGTAAATTTTAAAGGTGGCACAGATGTGTCCTTCGATGCTTATGATTTCCCACAATTCTGATCTTGCAGTCTGGCATTTGTTTGAAAGAATAACAATGCTGTTTGGCGGAGCATTTGAAACCAGCATGTTAATTTATAAATGAACATTTTTGCAGATCGGAGCACAGTACCTTTTTTTTTTTTTTTTTAAATAGCTTTCAGCGGAAACTGCAAGCAACACAATGCTATATTTTTTTATAAAAAATATAGCCGTAGTTAAGCCCCATCAGTCTCTTGGAATTCACATCTAATTTGTAATATATATTTATGTACAAATAAGTAATTTATACATTTCAGAAAAATCGCTAAAAATTTTTTTTTATTTAATATTATTATTTAAAATTATTATTAAATACAACTTTTTTGTAGTGATTTTTCTGAAATGTATAAAATATACACATTTATAAAATATACACTTTATAAAAAATCTAATACAATTGATTTTTTTGAAAATTACAATAAAACACACACTTTTTTTAGGGGTTTCTTATAAAAAATTTAAATAGACACTTTATTTTTGTAGTGATTTTTCAGAGTCGTGCTGTGAATGTCCTCCACATACCACAACGGCGGTACCACCGTTTCAGAACCACTGTTATAGATCATCAGATATGACGTTACAGTGCCTTGGAAGGCGGTCCGAAAGCAGTTTCTTTACTTGAACTCTGTCTGTTAATTCTTTGACTGACTGGCCAATGAGTGCCTTTGCCTTCTGACACAGGAGACATAACAGCGTTCTGAGGTACTAACAGCAGAGATGCTTGTAATGAAGTTTAGAATACCTGTGGTGAGAAACGCGTAACTTTTTGCATTCAGTCGGTTTGACACAGACAGTATGGCGGCGTTGGAGCATTCCCTCTGGCGCTAGTTTGTCGTGGGTGCAAAACCCTTCGTGTTTATAAGAGGCTGACAGCTTCTTCCTGTATCCCAGGCCCCGAGCCCCAAGTCTTGGCCAAGGCCCTTGCAGCGCTCTCCCCCTGACTGAGTGGGAGAGCAGGCGTAGGAGGGAATCTTGAGTGGGGGGATGGGGCTCCGCTGCAGTCGCTGAACACTTGAGCCCACTTGTTCTCTCCCTGCAAAGTCAGGCCAATGTAAACTCCCATTTCCTGCCTGGGACTTTGGGTGTCTCTGAGGGAGAGAGATGATCCTCATGTGAAGTAAGGCAAAGACGCATCATACTTGTGCTCAAATTTAGCCATGCAAAGTTGAGCAAGAGCAAAAGAAAGGGAGTATAAAAGGCACACACAAGCCTTGAGAAAAGGGCTGGAATGTTAAACACATGCTTTATGGCAGCAGCAGCAGCCACTTTTGGTAAATTACAGTGAACGTTCTGGCACTTGGGAACGCGCAGTGGGGAAGAAGTTCTCCGATTTCAGAGCCAGACGTCTCATTATCCCTTAGGAACGACTGTATGAGAGTGCATTTAGTTTTCATTTCTTAGCACAGAATATGCACTAAATATTGCTGCGGGTTGCTTTACAGCAAACTCTCTGGCGGCACATTGACGTGTTGGCTCACCACACACTTTCCAGGTTTGGAAATGTGCTTTTTTTTTTTTTGCCTGGATAAGTTTGATGAATCAGAAATACTAGTGTGTGGTCTCTATACCTGCTGACGAAACCGAGTCGAGCTTTATCAGGAATTTCTTCTTTTAAGTTTCCCACAGCAACTCTGATAACGTCATCTCATTAGACCGCCTCTCCCTCCCCTCTGGGCTTGTTACAAATCGACCACATGTAACTCTTCTGCTTCCATTTCATACAGATGTTTTCCTGTCGGTTTTCCAGAGCGTTTGGAGGATTGCGTCCTTCCACTTCCACTGTTCCACCTAAAGACAAAAGAACCCCAATTGCATCACCAAAATGTGAAGCTTAAACAATTCTTTCCAAACCAGCACCCCCCCAAGGATCACACTTCACTGTCGTAAACTACATGTCAGCACCTGACACATGCATTCCAGAGATTGTGATTGTCTGTGAGTGGTTGAGTGACTAAACGGGAAGAGGCTCCTCATACTAACACTCTTTCAGACGTTCAGATCTGGGACAGCACATGGAAGGACTTACCTCATGCTCCACAAACGCACCTATACTTACAATGAGAACTCACTCTTGCTACTGACAGCAGCTGACTCACTGTCTGGATTCAACAGTTCGGTCTGATTAATGTAGATCTGTTTCCACTAGGAGCTTACAGCACAAGTGCTGTTGGAAGATCCATTTTAGCTTTTCACATCCTAATTTTTTACAACTGTATGGACAACAGAGTATGGAAGCCTGTTTCCACCTCAAAGTAGAAAATGAAAAAGGTAATTGCGAGAAAGTTTAAACTAAGAAATAAACGGTGCACAATATAAAGTCACGATTCTGAGATAAAGTTACTATCGTGAGATATAAAGTCGCAACTGCGAGATAAAAAAAAACATTTTGAGGTACAAAGGCGCAATTGTGAGATATTAAGCTGCATTGTGCCTTAAAGTAGCAATTGCACGATAGAAAATCACATTGTGAGAGTCAGACAGAATTATGAGAAACAAAGTTGCAATTTGCTGTGAAGTTGCGAATGTGAGATACAAAATGACACTGTGAGATTGTCACAATTATGAGACATGAAGTCACGTGAGATATAAAGTGGCAATGAGATTCAAAGTCAGAACTATGAGAAACAAATTCACAACTGTGAGATATGAAGTTACATTGTGAGGTACAAAGTTGCAACTGTGAGATATTAAGTTGCAATTGTGAGATTTAAACTCCCGTTGCGAGATGTAAAATCACATTGTGAGATTAAAGGTCACAGTTATGAGAAACAAAGTCGCAGTTGTGAGATAGTCATGTGAGATATGTTACAACTCTGAGATATAAATCGTGATATAAGTCGCAATCGTGATAAAACATCGTGAGATTCAAAGTCAAAACTGAAAAATAAAGAGATACAAGTCACATATAAAGTTGCAATTGTGAGATATAAAGTTTTAATTCCAAGGTGGAAACAGGCTTTCGTAGCAGAGATTCGGTCCTAGCTCAGAATGATTATTTAGTCATTACAGTTACACATGCCAGGTTTTGAGGTCAGCAGAGATAGAAGCGCCTTACATCAATGCAGCATACACACGCAACTCTTCCAACGCTCGTAAGCAAAGCTTCCAACATGAAAATATTTATGCAAGACATTCCATCAGTTTGCCTCACAGCAATACCTCCAGAGGCAAAATTACAGTTTGAACGAACACAGAGCGCTCAGATGACTAAAACGCCATCAGGCCACAACGACATCTTTATGTCTTGTATATAAAACGGATCTGCTGCACTGACCGTGCATACACAAAAAGATCAACACACATCCGTATGCATAAGCAGGCCAGGAGTCCGTTCTGGGTAAACCGTTTTGTTTGCGGAGAGCGAGTGAGCGTGTGCGTGCAGCAGGACAGGTGTGTGGGGCAGGTGCATGCAGTTGTCCCTCTGCTGTCATAGTGCGTTCACCTGCCACCCAGCAAACATCACAGTTACAAACCAGTGAGTCACTCCTATTCATTGGAAATGAAGCACCGCTCTTCCTGATAATGCATTTCAACAGCTCCAAATAGCATGAGCCATCAGATTACCAGTATGAGTCTTTTTGACACTTTGTAACTGTGGCGAATCCAAAACAAGTGAGCATGAATCAGTCTTTGTATAAACTTAAATTATTTTATTGGGTGGAAATGATTTGGACAAATACAAAGAGACATGAAATGTATATATATATATATATATATATATAAAAAAAAAGTATGCTAAAAAAAAATTGCACTGAACTCATTCAATTTCATTCAAAAGAAAATCCTGCATGAAATTGTCAGTAAAATGTGACATATTAGGGTTGAAATGTCCACATGCATTGTGAACAGAATATGAAAAACATTGATGGCGATTTACTAAGATTGTCCTTTTCGTCACATCAGATAAAAATACAGAAGTGTCGCATGTCATCACTTGAAAAAAACATTTGAGGTACAAAAAAGAAAAACTTTTTAAATTACAAAAAGTAGCATGGCTTTGGTTTAAATGCCCAATCATTTGTTTTAATAGTACACAATGACAGGACTTCAATACTCTTTGGTAAACTGGAGTGCATTTTAAAAATCAGTCCCTGTACAACAAAAGGAGTGATAAAGGACACAGAGTAAAAAACTAAAAAAAATATGTGTGGTGAAAAGAACAAACATCAATAAAAACAAGCGAAGAACCATGGCATGCAGGTTACAACCCACTAAAAACAAAAAAACAACACCACAGTCAACTGTGGTCCATTACGACTCTCAAAGTGTGTTTCTAGAGAAATTGGCAGACGCCACCTGTTATCAGAGAGATGTGACGGTCAGGGCCAGGGCACCTGTTAGCACACTGCCTCCGCACCACAGAACAGCTGTCTGTCTGTGTGCATATGTTTGCGTGTGTGTGTGTGTCATGCTGAGAGACATACCCTACCCTAGTGAGCCCACCCCCAACCTGACAGCAGCTGTCCCTGCTTCAGGACTCCTAGCTGAACAGCTATTATACTTTTAACATTCATAATTCCTTCATTTGAAGTATTTTGGTTAAGAAAAAAAAGTCTGACGTGGCATTGTGGAAATGTATCGACCATGTTATGTTTAAGAAGTCTGCTTAAATGCCGCATCATCCTTCTCCTGTTGCATATTGCATATATGCGCGGGTGTTGAGAGAAGAAGCGCACGGTCATTATTATCTCACAAGGCACCGAGTCCTGAAGTAGAATAAAATGTCTCCCGGTGTCCTCAGGCCGTGGAGGGACAGCAGCCGGCAGCGCTGTGTTTCTGCAGCAAGGACATGCGGCTGAAGGTGCGAGAACAGGTGTTGCACTGGTATTTCTTCACATCTGCGTGGGTCTGCAGGTGCGCACGCAGGTTAGAGCGGTCTGCGAAGGCACGGTTACAGTGTGGGCAGGAGAATGGACGCTCACCTGAGGGGAAAAAGCGATTTAAAGCTACCGTTAAATATGCACTTGTAATCATAAATGTCTGTTCTAAAAGTACATATCTTTGTATATAAAAAAAAAAACATGTTGTCGAAGTAGCTCACAGTCACATGGTAACCTGATTGAATCAACCACAAGTACACAAAATAAGTGGCTACTCAGCAAGGATGATAACAAGTGCTCCTTAGCATTCTTGATCAACTTATCTTTGCTTATCTCTGCTCTCACACTAGTGATTGATAAGATTGTCCTATTGTGTCATTGTTAAAAAGATGTCAGCACAATGAGTGATCAATGAAAAGCAATTCTATTGAGGACAAACTCACTTGACTGAGTGAATCACTAAACTAACGGTGTTGCATTAATGAAATGATTGCGAAAAGAGATTTTAGAGAGCTCCAAAAGAAAATGTAAGATATTTACATCTTTAAATTATAAACACAATGCAAAATTAGCATGAACCATATAGTGCTAGTAAGACATTTTGTAAGTTTGTTGAAGAAAAACAACAAAAACAATTGATTTACCTGTATGTGTGCGAATGTGTCCTCTTAACAGCCAGGGTCGGGAGAAAGCCTTTCCACAGGTGGGACAGACGCATGGTAGAGTGTGTGAGCGGATGTGCATCTTTAGGGCACCGAGACTGTTGTATTCTTTGGGACAGTGCTTGCAAAAGAAGGCCGGTCGAGTGACTGGGACGGTGGCCTCGCTCTTGTCCTCTCTCTGTCCTGCCCTGTTCTTGTTGTTGCGTCTCGGCCTGCTGGTCTGTTGGGGGTGGTAGGTGTCTGAGGAATCTGGGCTCGGTGGGTCTGATGTTCGTCCTTCATCTTCTTCTCCGCTGCTGCTGCAGCTGACGCTGCTGGACGGGGAGCTGAGGTCCAGCGGGCCCTGGCTAGTGGATGTGGATGTGGGATTGTGCAGGGAAGGTAGCAAGCTGACATCCCAAATCAGTCCAGTGGTCAAGCAAGTCACTGGGAAGTCATTGCTGACTGCTGGAAGTTCTGCAAGTGGGTATCTGTCTGGCAGAGTATCTGATGGAAGAGAAAATAAGTTCCTAATGATATTTACAACCATATTAGTTGCTAAAGAATTTTTGGACTTGGTATTTTACCATATAAGTGATTGCCAGTGAAAAGCACAGGACACTCAGTTGCAACAGAAGTAGAAACTCAAAAAACACATGTGCATCACATGCAACCAGATCCAGTGAAGAAAGGGCGCTGTGTATAGATTGAAATTCCACAAGGGAAATGATAGAAAATACAACTGCCAAATTGATATTTTTGTATTAAAACGATTTATATGTATAGTAATATGCCCGATGTACCGATGACACAAATGCAATCCCCTGGGTACTTTTATCAGAATAACTAATTTAGGGGCCAGTTGTACACTTTAAAATCATTTTACGTTTAGATCGATTCGAATTTTTTAAAAGGGAGCAAAACTCACCGTTCTGACATTCCAGCTCGCTGTAGTTTGGCCTCTTGCTGGTGAAATACTTTTTTACCAGGAAAGACCGAGGCATTCTGAACTCTTAAGTTTTAACAATCCAGTCCAATTATTTTTCAAGGGTAAAATTTCGCTGAAACGCCCCGCTTCAGATAGTCCTTAAAATGTAGCGTCCTCGCCAATCCGCAGTTCTTGTAACGTTAACACTGAACACTGATCTGAAATGGTCTACAATTAGTTAGTCTGTACTTATTTAAAACAGTCTGACAGACTGAGTGGGTATACGTCCATTTGGACCCGCCCAAAAGAACAGCCTACAGCCATCGCTGTCGTCAGTGTTTCATTTAATTACCCAGCACTTGACTGCTGCCTAGGTGTGAATGTTCCCAAGCGCACTTCGCAGGTAATACACACAAGTGAATTGTTTAATTCGTGCCTATCAAGATCGTGCAAATTAGCCAATCTAAATTCATTGTTTACTTCGCGGCTCCAAGCCAATGTGCATAAAGCCAGATCATTGTTCATTTAAATTAAAGCTTTTGTGAAGGAAATGTTTGCCATCTCCAAAGTATGCACAATGAAGGATAATATAATTAGCATGTGCAACATAAATCTGTAGTCTACTTTCTATCAAAACGCTCTATGCCAGACCTGGTTTGTACAGATGCAGCGTTTAAGAAAAGTTCACAAGCTGTCATCACGTTTTATTTTATCGTCAAGACCATTATATCATACACTGAAATATATGTTCTGGAGATGTTTTATTAACTAATTTTGATAAGCTGACAAGTGCACAGTGCACTTTTCAACAGATGCCACTCAGGACGAGTCTGGAATGATTTTGGTGTGAGACTGAAAAAGTACAATTTTGATTATGGCTCCACCTTGTGGTAATAAAATATAGTTATTTTGCGTAGTTTTTAACGGTTTTCTGGCGCCCATGATATGAAACAAGTTTGTGTCCACATTCCACAATGTTTGATGAAGTGCACTAAAAACGCAAAAATCTTCTATTACGTGTTTAGCAGGCCCAAATATAGGCTCATCAATTCTATTTAAAAAATATTTAATGTGACTTATTTAACTTTATTTAAAGAGCATTTTTCCCTATTCACTTACTATCAATCATATTTGCATATTGCCACGTTCGTTTTAATTATATTTATGGATAATTTATTTGTGTCCAAGAATTTTGATTTGTAAAGTGTTTTAATTTCTTTCTACTATTCATAGACAAGTCGTAATGTTAGTGATAAGAGGCCATAACCCTGACAGAACTGTAAGAAAATTACGAGTGGTTTTAGTAGAAAGTAATTAGTACCATTTACAGTAACGTTAGACTATTTAAAGGCGCATTTGCTATAATGCGGAAAGATGTTGTAAAATGTTACACCATTGAAAATTTAACCTCCGTCATTAATAACTCCTATTGCGTCTTTTTCCATACAGTGCAAGTGACTCTCTGCTAATATTATTCCATTTTTAGTGTGGAACAACATGAAGGTACATTTGTCCGTTGCTGCGGCACATTCTGCAGTTTTCAAATTTTGTTGATTTACACGCCCCTCGACATGTCCAACTCCTTTCCTCCACAACTGAACTGGAATCAGTTTTACTTACGGTCGACCCGTGAGTTTTATAGTTTAATGTTAAAAACTGTTCCCAGGTCAGCTATAGATGACAAACGGATAATACGCCCCGTTAAATTCTGGCTCCACCTCTCGTTTTGTGTACGAATCTTATTGGACTAGCCTACAGCAGTAGGCGGAGCTACTTCGCTGGGCTTTTTGTTTTTTATTATCAGCTGTTCGTTGGGATCTATACTGCGGTGCTATCATTTGCAAAAATAAACAAAAGATCATATATTCTGCACCTCTACCTCGGAAACTACCAAAAAGACCAAAAAATTATTTTTAACGAATTAGACGGCGGAAAATCGGTTGCTCTATAAAGAAGCAGGTAGTATGTTTTACTTAAGCCTCGATTTTAGCAATGTGAGAAAATCTGTATATTTGCAAATTGTTTTGTTTGTAGCCTATATATGCATGTATACAAATTTGTATGTATCACACATGCTCATACCATATTTCTTAATCATAATCTTCTATAGCCACGTTTCTGTTTCGCTGTTTCATTGATTCATATGTGATGTTTGCAGTATTTGTCATTTACATTTCTTCTACAACATTTTTTTTATGAGTTACTGTGTATTTGTAGCCCATTGCACAACATGATAAATGTGTTCCCCTTGTGTTTTCCTCGACATCTGGATGACTAACGTTAGCTAAAGAGCAAAACAAACCATCGACATACAGTAAACGTTATTTGATAAATGCTGCTAAATGAAACCTGCATTCAAAAACAAACAAACATTGAAATTAAATCATTTCCACGTGATACAGATACTATGTTTTCGGAGAAAATTTAGGTATGGTTTCAATGGCACACCCCCCAGCTGGAGAACGACAGATGGACTCCAACAATAGAGCTGGGGTCCAACAATGCACTCCCAAAATTCTGTTCATCCATCTTTGTGGCCATATGAACAAATATACACAGAAATGGCACTCACATTTAGAACATGTCTTTGTTGGTATCTAAACTGATGACTAAAACCACAATGTTCACTGAATGTTTTAAATTTCTAAGTGTGCATGGATGGGGAAAGCATTAATGTAAAGTGCTTATTATTATTACTTATTTTTAAATTCATCCCTACTTTATGCCAGGCCTTTAAAAAAAAAAAAAGATGCTATTTTATGCCAGGCCTGTAAAAAAAAGATGCTCTGATTTCAGAATGAAACCTGACCTCAAAATGAGTTCTGAGTTTAAAATAGCTCGTAGCCTGATCCTGTCAGGTGTGGTTACTAACCAAGCCTTGATTGATATAATTCAAAACAGAGAGTATCACAGTGTTTAAATTTATAGTCACATTTTTCCTTTACCAAAGGTCTGGCTGAAGTCGTTCTGCTGAGATCTGCTCGTAACATCTGCCAGAGAGACCCGTGTACAAGGCAATCCAGTTCACCATCTATTATTAAGTACAATCACTTGTAATTTATAACCATGTTTCAACGGCTCACAAACCTGCTCTTTGGAAGCGTGAATGAAACAACTCAGGAACCAACTGTACCAAAACAAGGGTCTCCGGAAGTGGACGAGGAGGGCTGGCTCATGGTCAATGCAGCTGGTGAGTACAGAGACACAAATGTCTCATATTCATACGAAGGAACGTCCTAGTGCATTTAATTCAGGGATTGCAAGTAATATATTTGTAAATAATTTGCATTCACTTAAAGAGATATGCAAAAATGAACATTCTGTCATCAGTTACTCTGTTTTGTATCCATACAAAAAGTCAATAAATGTGTGGTTTTGGACTCATCGATTACATTGTATGGACAAAACATAATTCAAAATATCTTTTTAGTATCTTGTTTAGCACAGATAACAGTTGTCTGTGTGATTGTGCCTATAAAACATACTCTTATCATATTTGATACACATTTTTCTAAGGCCTATAAATGATCAACATTATGGAAACTTTACTGGAAACCCTGTTGTACACAATATACTTCATTCCTTCTGTTATCTAAATTGTTGTGTTGTACTAGGAAAAGGGAGCATATTACCCCAGTTTTGGTAAAGCTGCACTGGCTACCGGACCGGTTATATATCTGATTCATTATAGGGTGTTACTCTATGTTTATAAAGCTGTCCATGGCCTGGCCCTAGAATATATTATTACTAATTTAATAAACTAATCTAAAACTCCCTTGGAAACTAAAGGGGATTGGGCTTTTTCTGTTGCCGGCCCAAGACTGTGGAACACCCTTCCACCTGACATCAGATCTGTATCCTCAATTGACACTTTTAAATCTCGATTGAAAACACATTTGTTTTCTATGGCTTTTAACTCTTGAAATTTTGGCAGTTGTGTTTTGTTTTATGATGTGTATGTAGGTGGTTTGTTTCCTTGCTGTTTTCTTTTCTTTTTACTATTGACTGGTGTCTTGTGTTATGTTTTATTATTATTTGTTATTATCTGTTTTAACTGTACAGCCCTTTGGTCGACTTTGTTGTGGAAAGGGCTTTATAAATAAAGTAGATTTGAGACTAAATAAATGATAGTTTATAATTTTTTAGCAAGGAAAAGGTCTTGCAGTATAATTAAAAACAATTCCCCTTTCAGGTTGTGGTTCACATGTTGTTGTTTTTGTTTTTTTGCTGTGTAAATATAAGAATAGCTTTTATATTGTTAGTAATATTTCAAGATGAACACTTACTGGATTGAAGCAACATAGGTTTATTTGATTTCGTCATACTTTTTGGTTATATAAATATCAGCAACTGCAACAAATTAAATATTTGTGCTGAGTTTGGGGCTCTGAATAACATTGAGGGTTTTTTTTCCTCAAGTGTGAGCTCCATAGTTTTTTGTTATTTTGTTTAAAGGTTCAATAATCTGTTAAATTAAAAAAAAAAATGTTTTTAAAGATCTGACAATTATTTATCAGGCTTTACAGGGTTAAGATACAGCTTTCTGTGGTAACTGTGTTATTCTTTTCTGTAGATGGAGAGACATCCTCTGAACCCAGTGAGGTGCAGTTCAAGTTAATAAGAACCCTGTCAGGCACTGAGAAATCTGCTGCCAGCTTGGTCAGTGATGGAAGGTAAAACCAATACATCTGCTCAGAGATTGCAATCATTATAACTATTTCTACTGTGAGATTGCATTGACGGACAGGATTGGATTGACTTGAAATGGTGTTTTGTTCTATTTCTAAAGCATCGTAGATCCGGAAGTCCCTGTTTCTCGAGGCAGTGTTCGAGTATCTCAGCGGCTGGTCTCTCAGTCCGGGGCTCTGGTCAAAGTCACGCAGGTGGGCCGTATACAGCGGGCTCAGGCCCGGGCCAACCGCCACAATCTCGGCCGCAATTGCATTCAACGCCAGAACCACATTCGTCAACGTGTTCCTCAACATTACTCTCGCATACACCGCGTGATGCTCCACCAGCCTGGCCGTCGCAACTTTAATTACTAAGATGCAGAGAAAGTCAACAAGCGCGCAAGCACATGCAAGTACCTTGGTGCAAAATAAAAGCTTGATATGAGAATGTTTGAATCATTTTTATTTTGTTATTTATAATGTAGGCCGGTATAATAATCCCAGTGGCAGCAAAAATTATGCCTCCAAAAATTATGTTGGCCATTGGAAAATCTGTTTTTACATGCTAGTGTACTAGACTGTCATGCAGCAATAAAATTAAGTGAAGGACTTTTGAATTACCATGTGTTCTTTCATTGTAACATTATATAACTTATATAGATCATGTAGTGAAATCACTTTATTGTGGTGAAGACAATAAAGCAATGGGGTATCAATGGCAATCCATTTCAGCCAGTTTACCGCATTAATACAGATACTTACTTTCCAACTTGACCGTCATTTATTTATAATAAATAATATACTGTCCAGAAAGCGTTATTGTCATGCAGTGCACTATAACAACCACGAGGGGGCGCCTGGGTTCGCCCAGTCAGTGTAGTCTAGTCCTGGAGCCTTTTTCCAACTTTCTGTGGTCAAAATGACATGTCCACATCTATGAGGCATGACTGTCTTCCAGAGTGTATTACAAAATCATGAATCATGTTCTTTCCCCACTCTAAAATTAATCCTATTTACAATGTTATACGTTTTTAGTTCAACATTATAATATATATAAACATTAAAGTTTAATGATGACATTTAGTTCTTCTAGTTTTAGCAAGTGACATATATTCTCAGCTATTTGAACTGGATATTTGATATGATTTATGCTCTTAGTAAAAGAAATTATTTACATTCTTTTAGAGCTACAAGATACTTTGTTTGATATTTTTTGTGTTTCCACGTGAATATAGCAACTCTGGCGTGCTGAGTGGTTTGCTGGATGTGGAATACTTTGTTATTTTTCTTGTTTTACCCAATTCATTTTCAATTAGAGTTGAGAATAAAGTTAGCAGTTTATTGGTTGCTCTGTTTTGTTTCTTTGTTTCTCAGCAAGGACATCATAGCCCTGCAGCATAAACATCACAGATTTCCCAGAATGCTGCTGTCATGTGAACGGGTCATTTTAGTGCATCCAATACATAATCAAATGTGTAGCAGACCAAGATGGTGTTGCAAAGGTATCAACTATTTACTTGAAGCTGGACATTTGTTGCCATCTATACGCAAAATCATTATTGTGTCAACAATTCCGAATCACATGTTGTTTATTGTTTCATAATGTTTATCTTGTACTAATAAAGTGCAAGTCTTATTCTATTAATAGGGAAAGTATATAAAGGTCATCTTTACCAGTTACATAAAAATCTGTCAAAAGATTTCATTCTATCAGGCATGTTTAGCGAACACCTTTCTTAAACACACATCTTCATAGACATCACCTGATCTGATGGGCAGCCAGATAAATGTCAACTTATTTCAACTATGTGGCGTCCGTAGTTATTTGAGGGTTTTTTCGGCTGAATGCTTCCTGCAGTTTTATCTGTCAGAAAGTGATGAGAGCGCATAAAGCAGGAGATGAAATGCATGACTTCAGATGTCTCGTGTTAACTCAAGAGTTCAAAAGGGTTCTTTATATAAGTAGGCAGGTGTTTGCTGAAACATGTCTGCAGATTTATAAAATTAATAATGCATTGGTTCATGGACAATTTGTGGGGTTTGCAGAACCGTAATTTGCATGCATATGCAAATTGCACCATATTATAATGCTCTTCCCTCTAGGGCAGAATGAGTTAAGATTATTATTCCATAATCTTTTTTCTTTCTTTTTTTTGCGACAAAAAAATTAAGGAAATTTGCATGATTGAGATCATTTTAATTCAGGGCAATGCAGTGCCCGATTTTTAAAGAATCAACTTCTTAGTTTTTGAATAGTTTCAACAACAGTTGTCTTAGTTTATTTGTTCAATTCAGTAGAGGCATTTTAAAAAAGAATCTGAAGCAGTATTTTTCTCTTTAACTTTATTTATTTAGTCTCCTTTTTGGGCAGTTTAAAAGATATTTCCCCATGAACATGGATTGTAATTTTTTTTTTTTTCTACACTTCTATATGCATTCTTTTATTTTCAGTTAAATTAAGATCTATACCGTTTCTTTAATTGGACACAGAAGTATAGACGGGGCATTCACGTCTATCTCATATCTCCTTGCATACTGAACTGAACTATAGTCACTGACTTCTTACCCTTTAAAATGACTAATACAAAGTTTTTGACAGTGAAAAGAACAAGTTACAAAACAAGTTCATCAAGTTAGTGTTCAAACATTCCAAGGTCAGTTGCTTTCAACCAGCACCTGCTGAGTGCATGAATACAAAAGCATGTGCTTAAAAAATTAACAGTGCAGACTTTTGAACGTGTTAAATGGTGACTGTCTACAACATGTGAAGGTGTATTTTCTTTTTAATTGTCTTCAACTTAAGTGAACATTTTTATCGGCATCACAGGTGTTCTGCTGAGCAGATCCCAAAAAGACACTTATACCCAAAATGTTAGGTAAATATTGTACTAGATGTATGTATATTGTACTTGAGAATTGCCACAGTTTTATTGTAAGCTAGTTTAATTACACAACAAGGCAAATTAGTAGGCGAACACTATAAAATGTTATAGATTTTATAATTATTTACTTGGTTCCGTTAGTTATGATAATGCAATCTCTTTGTGAGTGACATTTGTCACATTGTTTTGTTTTCTATATCTTCTCATAGAGATGTACTACATGTATTTTACTCGTTTATCAAGTCTACTGATAGTGGGTCTCTACAGAATACCACTAACAATGCCATTGTCACACCACTGTCCTAACCAAGAGTGTTCTCAGGTAAAGTAACTTACTTTTTATATATTGTTAGAATATATTCTTTTAACATATTTATTTTAAGTGAGCAACATAAACAAAGAAATCTGCAGTCTTTAGATTGGTAAACAACATTGCATATAGGCTAAATACCATATAACATTGTTATTAGGCTATTTAATTTGTTGTTATTTACAAAATCTATATTATGCTTTTTATTGTTTTATTATTATTATCATTTATGATTGTGCCAAAACCAGATTTAAATCATTCATTAATAATCGGTTTTGTATATTTGTTATTGGAAAACTTTGTCTGTATTGATTATTTAAAAAAATCTCTCACTAATCTTATAAACCAATGCATTTATTAGCCTATATTAATAAACCAATGCATTCAAATCAATTTGTATTACTCATTTTGTATTACCGATTTCCTGGTTGACACAGATGGACATCTTTAATCACATGTCAGCAATGAAATGCATGACATCACGACTGTAGATGACTGACTCCTCTCTGTCTTGATAAAGCGACTGCTGAACACACACTCTTCATTTAACATGGAGCTGGACATGGAACGACAGGAGCGCTACTTTATTGTAGTGAGGAGAAGCAAGAAGGGCTTATCTCGCGGGTCAATTTTGCGCGCGGATGCGGAGACAGCAGCAGGAGATCTCATAGGAATGGTTTATGGCGGAGGTGGCAGTGCCAGGAGCAGTGGTTCGGTGAAGAAACACGACACATACCCTCTCTCACGCCATCAAGCTCAGCTACTTTTGTTCGTTTCTCCTGCCAGCAGGAGACTGGAGCTCATGTGCAACGTCCAGCTCTTCAGTGCAGTCTGTGACCTTACTCAGGATGATCTTGTTGTGGTCAAACACAAGAAGGATTTTCAACCATGCCTGGTCAAGAATCTGATTCAAATAGGCAAGAAGGACAAACCAGGAGTCTTGCAAATGTTGGGATTTGAGCTGAACTTAATGGTGAGGAAAGGCATCTTTTGCTGCCGTGTTGTACCTATTAATTCATGCAAAGAAATTTGCTAAAATATTGAAATAGGCTATTTACCTAAAAATATTTGATTATTGTACATACAATTTTTATATACAATTTTACATAAAGAGGAAATGTTTGTAGTTTTGCTAAAATATTGAAATAGACTATTTACCTAAAAATATTTGATTATTGTACATACAATTTTTATATACAATTTTACATAAAGAGGAAATGTTTGTAGTTTTACTTTATTGGGAAAATCCCTTATCAAAATCTGAATCAACATGACATGACTGTAACATTACATAATCTAAACATGCATTTTTCAACAGTGTCGTAAGCAGGCCCGCCGACAGGGGGGGACAAACGGGTCTGTTGTCCCGGGCCCAGGGTAGGGAGGGGGGCCCAGAACTGGGCCCTCATTAAATTATGGAATAATTGTTAAAAATATAAATAAAATAGGCATATTTGTTGAAAAATATCTAATATTTGAGTTACATAAAAGCTTTTTATTTGTTTTCTTCCTAATTGTCCTTGAAATAGTGGTCAAGAACCCACCCACACCCCCAAAACAAAAATGGTTTGGCCACTGATCAAAATATGATGTTGTCATTTGATTTGAAGTTCAGTAGGCTAACGTTACGCTCAAAATGTCCGGTCAGCACAAGTCCGGTGCTCAGAAAAGAAAAGAAAAGAAAAGAGAAGAAAATAGAGGCCTTCGAGATGTCCTAAACAAATATTTTTAAAAAGGTGGTGACGGTGAAGCTGGAACTAACGTTAGTAAAGTCAACGTAGAGCAAGGTAAGAAACAGCCCAGCCAACGTTTATGAGTGTTGTCAAAGACCCGGCACTTCGGTACCAAGTCGGTACAAATTTCTTTTTAAACGTCACGCCACGGTACCAGGTTTTCTCAAACCCGGGATGCGCGTGCATGCCCAAAGCGCGTGCAGTTGCGTCCTCTTCATAAAAGCGCTGAGACATGGCGACCGGCGGTGCTGCTGCTGTGGTGGCTGTAAATCCACTTGTTGATAAGAAAGTAGGAAAAAGCCACATATGGAAATATTTTGGATATTAGCTCATAATAATAGCGACGCGGCGCGCTCGTTTTTACAGGCGCGCCTAAGTTCATTGTTGCATAGCAACGACAGACGCCACGGGAGAGCAAACGCTTGTGGAAAGGAGAAAGCGGTGCGAACTGCGCTCTCTATGATGACGAGGAAGTATTAGCAAAGAATTCATTGATTTCTAGCCCTTGCATTAGCTTTACTAC